CGGGCCCCACTCCTCTTCGGGCGGGCCGGCTGGCGGGCACGGCGTTGGTCGGCTCGTTTCGTTCGTTTCGTTCCTTGGTTCTAGTCAGTCTGCGCGCAGCGGTGGCACTGTGAGGACGCCGTCAGACAGCCCCGCACCGCCGCGCCGACCCCCCGGACGCCCCCGTGCTCGACGTCGCCGCCGAGAGTGCGCGCCGCGCCTACTAGTGCAGTGCAGTGAGATAGTGTGCCCCTAGTGAACAGCAGCGACGCCAAAGGGATATATCGCAGCTCGACATCAGCTCGACGTCAACCCCGCCAGGCGTCATGGACGCAGCATGGACGCAGCAGTAGCGAGCACGGCCGCGACCTGTCACTAAGGTGCGTACGTCGCGGAGCTATTTTAAAACCCCCGCCGCAGAGCAGCAGCCCGCGCTCCCCTCCGCAGCGGCGTCAGAGTGGGGTCGGTGGCGCCGTCCCCGTAAAACGACGCGCCAGGACGGCGACGACGGCAACGACCACCGCGAAGACGGGGGGAGGAGGACGACGACAGCTGCGTGCGCGCGGACAGCTGACCGTCCCCGGTCGGACAGACGGACACCGCGGGCGACTGTTGCAGACGGACGGGCGGACACCAGCTGTCTGTGTCGCAGCCGCGGTGGTCCGCCCGAGTCAAGTCATGCAGGGGCCGCGGCGGCGCGCACGGTCAGAACGAGGCCCCCCATGCAGCCGGCGCGGTCCCGCCGCGCCGCGCCCCGCCCCGCTTTCGACGTTTGAAACGGGACCTCCTCGACGTCGAGCAGCAGCTGCGGCAGCAGCAGCAGCGGCGGCGGCGTCGGCGGCGTCGGCAGCCGCTCGGTTTCGGGAAATGTCGTGTCCTCGTCTCCTTGTCTCCGTCGTCGTCGAGCCGAACCGCGAACGCCGATCAAACTGCTCTAACGCTCCTCGCGGCGCGCGGGGCTCCGCTCCGCTATCAGATGGCCATCGTCGATAGAAAACCGGCCCCTCGCGCGCCCAAGACATATACGCCCCGTGACAGACACACACACACACACACTCGGGCTCTCAGTTTTACGACGTCCGCTGGATTTCTCATAGTGCGTCCGAGCGCGCCCCGCCCATAGCCGGGCCCAGCGCCCCGGTGTCATATGCCCGTTGAATGAGACATTATACTGTGGTCCTGAGCGCCCGCTGCGCCCGCCGGGACCACGGGGAGGCTGGGCCCCGGCACTATACAGACGTATACCACCCACGTGACTGGGGGGCGTCGCTCCATCTCACACACACACACACGCACACGGACGCACGACACGGACGCCCGAGGGACGGACGACCGCTACTAATGATTGGGTCTTCCCCCTCGCCCCCGCCCTCCCCCGCCCCACCCTGCCGCGCCGCACAGCCGGCAGCCGGAGCCCCGGCTCATCCCCCGGAGCGACACACATCGTCCTCGTCCTTCATTCGCCCTGGTTTTTGTGGCATCGTGTTTTTATTCAATTGCCTTCTTATTCCCTATTCCTCTTCTGCAACGAAGGACGACGACGGCGATGGCAGCCTCGACGACAAAAGTGCGGTGGTGTCACCCGGGAGCCTCGGGCATGCGATATTATTGTGTTTGTGCGCGAGGGGGATGTGTCCCTCGACGACATCGGCCTCGGGCAGGGGGAAAGGGTGGGCAGAGGCAGCACACGGGACTATGCCCCGGGCGGGGGTTTTCACTTGGAGGCTGCGTCAGCTTCTCCCTCGGGATGGGCGAGTCGGGGTTCTCTGCTCCTTCATCGCCGTCCTCGTCTTCGCCGAGGGCGGGACCTCTTCCAGGGCGTTATATACAACGACGCTGGGCGTATGGAGGCGGTGGTGGGGCCACGGACACGACGAGCCGCGCGGGCGCGCGCGCGCTCAACGCAGAACGTTCAATTAGAGTCCCTTGTGCCCAGCTCCGCTCAGCTCGACGCGGACGCACTCCCACCCAGAGACGTATTGAGGTTAATTCGTCTTCATTACAGCGCCATAGTTGTGCGCGCTGCGGGCTCGCGGGGCGCGGGGCTCGGGGCTCTCGGCCGCGACATGTGGATAGGGCGCGCGACCGATACAAATCAACTAATAAACTTGCTGGCGGGGCGGGGCGCGGGGCGCGGTCTGCTACAGTCATGGATCCTAAATCCGGACGATTTTTGGCGAAAAAGTCCTGTGAAATCCGTCCTTTTGATGATATTGAAAATCGGTGAGGATTATAAAATCTTCGGACCAAGACACACCTACCACCACCTTGAACGATTTTTTATCATCTACGGTGTACCTGTGAGGCCCTCTAGAACAGTGTCTGCGTTCAGGAGCCAAAGTGCCCTAAATACGGACATTCTTTTAAAAATCATGAAAAATGAAAAATTGTTGGGTGGAAAAAAAACTTCATAAAAAAATTTGACCTCACCCTACCGTCGAAATTTTCTTATCTCGT